GAGAGAGTGTGTGTGTGAGAGTGTGTGTGTGTGTGTGTGTGTGAGAGAGAGTGTGTGCATGTTTGTACTGTACGCCACAGCAGCATCTGGTTCACATTATAGTTTCTGCAGTGATGATAATGTAAGTGTGTCTGAACATTCTGTTCCAGAAAGCTTTGCTAACTCACACACACACTCACAAATACTTGTATTTGTGGTTTACGGGGACTCTCCATAGGCGTAATGGTTTTTCTACTGTACAAACTGTATATTCTATTGCCCTACACCAACCCTACCCCTAAACCACACACACACACGCGTGTGTGTGTGTGTGTGTATGAGAGAGTGTCTCACGGCTGACCTGTGTGTGTGTGTGTGTGTGTGTGTGTCAGATCTCTCTGGAGACGGAGCGTCTGGGGCCGCGGCGCGTCGAATCTCTGCGCAGGGAGGATGAGGACTGGCAGAGGAAGGCTCACACTGCTGTGCTCTCCATACAGGACCTGACCGTCAAATACTTCGAGAACACGGCCCGCGCTCAGAAAGGTGCGACCGCCGTCTGTCCGTCTGTCCGGTGTCCTTCAGGCCTGATCACAATCAACATGAAGTCAATGAGGTCACATGATCAGCAAGATCTGACAGGAATTACTGACAGACTGAGTCTGTATTTACTGCACTATACAGTTTATAGCAAAATGTAATTTTATTATCGTCCAGCTCTGATCTACTAAATGCAACTGTAAGACATGAAGATAATAAGATGATTTTCTGTAAAGCTGCTTTGAAACAATGTGCGTTCTGAAATAAATTTAACATGACTTTCTCAACATGGCTTAAAATGATGGAAAATAAGACAAAAAAGGCTTTTTCTCAGCAAAAACATTTTTTAATTACCGGTAGGGCAGTATGTATTTATGTAATTTAACAATTTATAATTATTTTATTTAATAATTTTACAATAATGCCACTCCTAGTTTCTGTAAATAAAAAGTCTGAAAATTAAATTGTCATTCTAGCAGAAGTATCAGAGATATTGTGAGGATCTTGGAGTCAAACATCGATTTACACTACTATACTCTCTCTCTCTCTCTCTCTCTCTCTCTCTCTCAGTGATGTACGAGCGCATGCGCGCTGACCAGAGGAAGTTTGGGAAAGCTGCGTGGGGGGCGGCAGTGGAGCGCATGGAGAAACTCCAGTACGACGTTTCTAAAGAAACACTGCAGCTGATGCGTGCCAAAGAGATCTGCCTGGAACAGAGGAAACACGGACTGAGAGAGGAGGTTCATACACACACACTCACACACACACACACTAACACACACACACACACACTTACACACACACGCACACACTCACACACACACTTACACACACACTCACACACACACACACACTCACACACACACACGCTCACACTCCCACTCACACTCACACATATATATATGCACACACTCACACACACACACTCACACACATAAACATACACACTCACACACACACACACACTCACACACACACACGCTCACACTCCCACTCACACTCACACATATATATATGCACACACTCACACACACACACTCACACACATAAACATACACACTCACACACACACACACACTCACACA